TTTTTGTAACTTCTATGACAGTAGAGGCTTTCATTCTTTTCAGGAGACAGCAGATCGATCGCTCAATCTTAAGCTCCGTAAAACTGTTACCATATCGTAGTCGAGCAATATTTCAGCTCAAAAAAAATGAATCAATCATTTATAAAACTTGCCGAGGAAACCGTAAATAACCTTGTCCAACGTCTACGGACGTTTCTGTATAAAAAAGTATTTGCCAAAGCTGCTATGTTAGACCGTTTCACAGTCGAACTTTGACCAAAACTACGGCCAAGAACGTTAATATTTTTTAAATGATGAAATAATTAATAATAATTAAATTAATAGTAATTTTTTAGCTGGTTTTGAAAGTCTAACCACAGATCTGAGTCGTAAGGACCGGGCAACGTCCAACGTCAGGGAATACTTGGGCAAGAAGAACGTACGACACAGGAGTGCATTGTCCCCAACCGCTTTGATTGCCGGGAAAGACTGCCATGAACCCTGAAACAAACAGCTAAGGGACTCTCGTGATGCTACTTCAGGCCAATTACCGGTTCTGTGAATTTTTTTCTGATTACATACTCCGTACAGAATTTATTTTGATAACTGGTACTGGTAAAAGACCCAGAAATTTTGAATATGGATCTTGAAAAATTTCAAAGCAGATATTTTTCATAGCTAAATATCGAACGCTGTTTGCCACGTGGATCTGCCACGCTGGATGCACAAGAACTAAACCGGATGGCAATACATGTAGTTGCACTACAAGAGAATGGCACTGGCTTCGAACAAGCATTGTGACCCCTGGAAATGATAGCTCCTCTTGCGCAGAAAATAAGGCGCCGCTGACGAGGTGGTGTTGCACTGGCCGTGAGGAAGCCGGATTGTAGGCAGCAGCTAGGAAAACCTCCAATAGGATGAGAAGATCTTGTTAGAACTTACAAGGTGAATGGACTAAAGAGTGAACACGCATTTATTCGATCCAGCTGGAAGGCTTGTACCGCACCAGTCGTCGTTTTCGATGCACTGGGATAAGAAGTAGAGATTTCAGTTTGTACTAAAAGGGAAGATAAAGATTCTAACGCTCTAAACACATTCAATAAACCGACGTTAAGGTGTTTATTAGAAAAGCTGACATTTCAACCAAACAGCATTGGCCATTCTCACAGCAAACAATGAAATGGAAAAAATTAGGTTTTTTATCCATCTGACCGTGCTCTGATTATTTGTTAGTTCTAATAAAAAATTTCACAAAAGTCTGTTATTTGTGTATAGTACCATCGAATCACCATTTTTATTGAAAACAGAACTTAAACGTTTTCGAAATTATACGATAGCACCTCTTACAATGGTCTCACAGAGTTTCTTATAAAAGTGAAACGTACGATTGCACAGCTTGCATCACTTTTTTGGAAGTTTCCTTTATATTTTTAAAAATAGACTCTGTTTGACCCATGATCGAGCCAATTAACGAGCCCACATTGGTGGCCGGGGAACCGAAATCATTTGGTCCGGTAGACTGCTCAATGGTGTTCACCGGTTGTCTGCTGACATAGACGCTTTCAACTAAAATACTGCACTGGTATTTGATTTTGCGAGAGTTAAAAAGGTTCGTACTTTCGTGAGCGGCCCCACTGACCAGCTGTGACAAATCCAATTGAGTTCTGAGATCAATGCGTGCATCGAGGGCCATCTTTTCGAGAACGGTGATCACGTCGTCGATCGTAGGTCGATCATTCGGCTTCAACTGTAGCATCCTGTCTAAACCCAGTTTTAGTCAGATAAGTATCCTGTTAAGGAAGCACCCACCGATGAGAGCGCAGAATGGCGCATGAATCTTATCATTGGCGGGAAATGAGAACTTTCTATTGAGAATCTTCAGTTTCGATGCGTCCTCGAACGGATGCACCCGGAAGCACAGGAAATACAAAAGACAGCCAAGTGCCTGCAAGCACAGCATAGAAGTAGAATATTTAATGAGAGGTAGGATGTGAAATCGCTCACCCAGATGTCAAGCATCTGGTTGATTGGAAAATTCTGATACAAGTCGAGCATCTCCGGCGCCCGGTACATTGGAGTAGTACAGTGACACATCTGAAAGGAAAAAGGAAATAAATTCAAAAGGCAGACACAAAAGAGGCTAAAAATGAATTAACCATACCTGTTCTTCAACAATACACCTGTCTTTTGAAGACCAGGTGGAATTTGGACTGTAACACTTAGACGTAGCGCTTCCAAAGTCGCAAAGCTTCACGATACCCGGTTCGCTGATTAGCAAGTTTTCAACCTATCGTTTCGCATCTCAGTTCATTATAAGTATCAGTCCGTATGTGAAATATGCCTTACTTTCAAATCTCGATGAATTAGCGGCGGCCTCTGAGAATGCATGTGTTGAACAGCTTTGCAGGTCTGATGAAAAATCCGCAGAACTTCGCCAAAATCCAGCGGATCAGCACGATTCTTCAGAATCTCCACCAATGGCCCGACTAAATTATGTGCCAAAAATTTAATCAAGGCAACGTGATCGATCATAAATACACCTTACCAGAGCACAGCTCCATCAACAGCAGGAATTCTCGCCTACCCGTGCCAATGTCATGACAAGCGCCCTGCACAAATCTAACAATATTCGGGTGTCCTGATAGTTTTCTCTAAAAAAAAAACTTTACTTCAATAACGCCGTGATTGCAGATTCGATCTGACCGATTGATGAAGACTAACAACAGCGGCTAGGTGAAAATTTGAATAAAGGCAATTGTTTATTGTTAGTTTACGCCAGTTCTTGTTTATACTGTAAACACAGTAACAGAAGTAAAATGTTAACGTTTGACTTAACATTTCAGTGATTAAATAAGTAATAATATTCATAAAAAGAAGTGTTCTTATTTTATGACTATTTAAATATAAATGGAAAATGTCTAATTTCTTTGGAAGTCCTGAACGTTTTTAGAATCAGAATTGTTAATTATACTGATTTAATAGGAATTCCATGTTTGATTTACTAATTTTCGATTTACAGCTATCAGGTAGGTCAAGGTAAAATGAAGCCCTACAAAACGCTAGCAACAGACAGCATGGCTAAAACTCTCATCCATTCAGGCATCGAT